TGGTGATAACCTCATTATTACGAACATCATTTACGATTTGCGAATAGTATAACAGTCTTGCTTGAGTAAGTAATTAATCCTTAGTACAGTTATAGTTCTTTTCGTCATCACCAACCTAAAAGACGTTTGCTGCCAGTAAGAGACCAGGACAATTTTCTGCCATTTACTTGTTAAATTTTCATCAGGACGAGCTGAACGTTGACCCTTTGCATATAATCCTTTACAGGCGTCGTTTAGCATACAAGAACATGTATTATAATAACCTAACACTAAATCCTCATAACATAGCACACTTACAGGAAACTAAATCTAGTGGATAAAAATATGTTCCTCGTGATTTCATTCACGGTGATAGGAAATATCATTAATAGTTAAAGAATATTAAAAACCACAGTAACATGTCGCAAATTATGCTTTACTTTATTTTTAAAAGCGTTTGATTATCATTTGACGAAGACTTCATTATAGCTTTATTTTGTATTGCTATAAGGGAATTTCTCTTCTTCTTCTCCTTTTATTTAGCCCTTTAAAGTTCACCGCTGGATATGGGCCTCTCCAAGTGTAGAGAGGGTTTATTTTAAGCATCACATTTAATAGGTGGATTGACAATTGCAGTACCAGGCGTAGGCATCTTTCACTCTGCTGTCCATTACTGGTCTGTTGATTTTACGTCTAGACGAGATGGTTATGCCTTTTACCAGAAGCCATAAAATTTTCTGGGTTTTCCCGTATGTATAAATGGGGTGCAGTACTCTCTTAAGCAGCCCCAACACGGTAATCTCCCCCTGATAAGTCTTATCTAAAATTGTTGCCTGTTAGTTTGAGAGTACATAGAGCACGCATCAAAAACATCTGATGTATTTAGTATATAAAGAATTTTATAATTTTTTCTCTAAATGTAACACTTACTTACGCGTAACGCATCATTCTAAAAATGCCATACGGGTCTCTAGCGATCGTCATAGTGCAGTGTATATTTTTTAAATGCTGAGCCAAAATCCCATATACAGAGCAGCTTAACTAGTGCGATGGTATTGATGCTGAGATTACCATCCCGTTTACTCAGCGTGGTCTTACAAGTTATGCATGCATCTAACATAGACCGTTCAGTACACTGTTTAACATTAGCCTTCCCATAGATTGCCTAATAGAGGGGATATTTGCCTTAGTTGCGACGCTTGGCAAGCGGGTAGTAAAAATTAAAAATAAACTGCAGTTGCCAAACTCAAAGAAAGCTTTTAATTGAAAAGAAAAATTGTAAGTTATTTTATCACTAAAACTATTTTTTGATTTTAATTCAGAATTCGCTTCTAATATTTTTTTATTTACGTCTATTAGTTAAAAAAAATTGTAATTTACTAAGGGACCAATTTCCGTTTAAATTAATGAATTTGAACGGACGGTCGAATCCATTTGATTATATGTATTGCTAAATGAATTAATAAATCATTGAATAATTTACTAATGAAAACAAAATTGTTATGGAAGATTATTTTAAGGTCTTTTTTTCGTTTACCCTTGTGCATGTACACTTAAAATACTGCGCATTAATGTTATTGATTTCTATAAATAGCAATGCTCACTGCATTCATAAATAAGTTTTAAAAAAATGATGAAATGACTGAAGAAAACAAGCAATATATAATTTAAAAGGTCGACACAATAAATTTTGCCATGAGATTGACCATGAACGACAAAATCGAGGCAAGCACCTCCGGTGCGGCAGTTGGTAAATTAATACCATCATGTAAAATATAGCTATCTACATGCGTAACGATTTTTCTTGTGTATACGTCTACAATTTAATTAAGTATTAATTTTAATGCATTCGCCTAGAGGGTGCTTCCTTTGATTTCTTAATAATAATATACGTTAGCAAATATGCCAACTATTTTAATCATAAATACCACGTTGGTTGCTAATAAAAAAGGATTCATTAGCGGAAAGCAAGCCCGTTCCAAGGGAGTATTTCATCACAATAACCACATAAATCAGGTGAATTGATATCGTAGCACCAGATGTCTCTCATTTTTATCACTGCCTCACATCGGTGATCATAATTTTTTTTTATAGGATAGGGTGACAAACGAGCACACAGTCCACCTGATGGTAAGTGGTTGCTGTGGCCCATAGACATCTACATTTATCCTCTTTTGCGAATCAAAATGCAGATGCGTTGTCACCCGTGAGGACTAAGATGGAATTCCTATTTTCCAGTAAAAAGGGTCTCCGGTTCTCTACACTCACCATACGAAACACAGCAGTGTTAAGCTGCTATTTGACGCTGGTATTCTGTGAGAGCGTGGTCCTTCCCCGGTCGAGCCGACCCATTCGTGCTACAACTATACTACTAATATAGCTGCAGCATGGCTCTACCACGTAAAATATTTGTTACCATTACATCTTATCAAAAGTTTACTGCTAAACATACGCCTCCTCATAGATTGGGGTGATATTTTCCATAGTTGCCATGCTTGGCAGGCGGGTTAATAACCACTGTTTTTTCCTTTAGCTATGATTAGAAAGAATTTGTTGTTGCTGCATGGTGAGTATCTCCTGGTATGTTTCCCACTGCCGTCTCTTACGACATCCACGTGATGATATGGTGTAGTGAATATTCTAACACCGCCACTGCACGGTCACTTGGTATATTGTTTGGCATATGGTTACGACATAGCTATTCCACCAGTATCAAGAACTGTGGAATTCCCCATTGTATTTTGTTGTCAGTGAGAGGTAGTAATTTTTTGTAGATCTCACTACTAATATATATTACTGTTAAGTGTATAATAAGCAGATAGTCTAATTAAAGATATAGACAAATGATTGTCTCTCAAAATGACACCTTTCTATATTACACCATGAAACCAATTAAAGAAAAAAGAAAGAAAGAAACTTTATTCGCCGCTATAAAGGAATATAATTTGTGATACACAAACTACTGCTTGAATGTTCCAATTAATAATTTCTCTTTACATAAAATTTAAGTGTCCAAACGAACTCACAGTGCACCTGTGTTTCATATTTGACGTCCTAATCTCCTAGTTTGAGTATTTTTCATATATTTATATAGAATCGATCGGGTCTTTCTGATGTATTTCATGGATAGTCGTCTTCTTCGACACTCAACGACAACTGAACTGAAATGCACTATAGACTGGTAGCAGAAATAGATGAGTAGGTGTTACAGTCCCAGATGAAATCCTAGGTAGAAAAAGTGTAGCGACAAACGAAACTACAGTCCATCTGATGATGGCTTACTATCCGTTCGTGGACGACCGTGGACTGCAGTAGCCATAAGTGGCACCTGCTGCTAACTTTAAACAAAGAAGGCTGCAGATGCGTTATCATCTTTAAAGGCTAAGATCGAATACCATACAGCCTATAATTGTGCTATATCTCTATGCCTCTCAAACTGGTATACATCAGTTCTATTTGGCGGCAGAAACACGTAAGAAAGTGGTGGCTACCCAAACGGATTTTTTGCCAGAGAAAGAGAGTTTATAGAACTGTTATACTCATTCTTATAAAATGTGTTACCAGATCAACAGATAACAAAATAAATCAAAGCTGGTTTCATGTGTTGTTAATATCGAAATAATTTTGCTTAACTATGCTCACGAAAAGTTTATGACGTAAATTTACGTTTAATGAAAGTCCATTTGATGGTAAATGGATGTTATGATCTAGCGACAGTAGTTTTTTTTTTTACATTTGTACTCGATTAATTTCAAAATGCAGATGCATTGTCGCACCTGGGAACTACGATGAAATACCTGGCTACTAGTGTAATCTCTTCGTTTCGTCACTTCCAATATGAAGCAGAGAAGCATTGCATTTTTACCCTGGTATTACGTGAGAGCATGTTTCTTCTACTATATCTTGAACCTACCACCTAAGGTAATTACTATCTATCTGAAATAAAAATTAAGGGTTTCTTATATTTACACGAACACTACACATTGAATAAAACTACTTTTACGGATTTTATCGCGTTTAATTAGTTATTTTATATTCCCGACGTTTCGGTTGCTTTCCAGCAACCGTGGTCACGGGGAACTGAGGTGATTGACGTCCCGATGTCAAAGTTAACCCGGAGTACCTTCAGCTTTTTAATTATTCATTTTGGTCCGATCTACGCAGAATGAACTAACTGTGTCTTGAAGTCTTGCAGTGGTATGATTGGGTCTAGTTTTAATTTTATGAATTACAGGATCCCAAGCAGGTGGTAGTACCCAGCCTCCTTCTCTATTGAAATTAGGATGTTTTTTAATTTCAATAGCCTCACGTATCATCCTTGGAAGGAATCAATGTTCTTTCGCGAGAATTTGTGGTTTATCAAATCTAATGTAATGGATGGGCCGTCTAGGATATGATCACAAACTGCAGACTTCCCGGAACGTTGGTGCTTCACGTCAGCTATGTGTTTTTATACGCGGGTTTTTATTTTGAAACCATCATCATTCATTCTGCGTAGATCGGACCAAAATGAATAATTAAAAAGCTGAAGGTACTCCGGGTTAACTTTGACATCGGGACGTCAATCACCTCAGGCCTCCGTGACCACGGTTGCTGGAAAGCAACCGAAACGTCGGGAATATAAAATAACTTAATTAAACGCGATTAAATCCGTAAAAGTAGTTTTATTCAAAAATTAAGGAGGTAAAATTGTTCTTCTAAAGTAAAACTAAATAATGAAAGTATAAAAAAATATTAAGCATATAAAGCATGATACATTTTTGTTTAACTAAAAGGGTGATATTATAAAACCTGCATATATGTCATGCTCGGGAAAAAATTAAGTATTTAATAAATAAGACCTGATAACTAGCTTATGAACGCAATCGTTTTATTTGAATGGAGTGTAAGCTGCGTTCACGCCTAGCCCGAATGAACGCTGTCACAGCCAATACAGAGCAACCTTCTGTGGGAATCGCACGTACACCCGGATAAATTGAGTTTTTATAAATTATAAATATTTGGGAGTTATAAAAAACATAATGCTAAGGTTAATTTTTATTGTAAGCTTCGCGCTTTGTGAATTAGGTAAGTGTTTTTTTTTTTATATTGCCCGATGGAATGAAAATATGATCGATAATTATAATAAAATTTTGATTGAAATGATTATTTTTTTTATTTAATGATTGATTCTATTTGTATTTAATTGACGTTACTCAGATAACATACTATACAATTTAAGAAAAAACTATTTTATTTGCTAAAATTATATAGTACACCATAATATATATTTACTTACATGATATTTTAACATTAAAAATTCGAACGAAAGAAAATTAGAGATTAGAAAAATCTATAATTAACATTTTCTCATAAAGATTATAATACATATTTTGTTAAAAAAATTAAATACAGCTTTTCAAATTTAAAGTCTTAATATAAGTATTGAATCGAAAAAAGAAACATAAAATGTGTAAATGAGTATGAAGAGTTCTTTGAACTTTAAGTCTTTGTTTCATTACAAAAAAAAATTATAACTTATTCTTTGTTTTACCGCTACGACTTTCTCCTGAGAGGAAGCTGCAAGAAACTCCTTACATAATAACTTAAAAGTAAACCTTTTAATGTTTGTTAAAGGTAACCATAAAAATATATTATGTAATATGTTATGTATTCATTTATAAATCATAAGCAAATTAACACTTGATACGATAGGACCTTTGAGTTAGCGATTTAAATTAACAATTAATAATTATTTGCTCGGATATGTTATTTTTATTTCAAATTATAACCATTTTTATAAATTGATAAATACAACGATAAGTGACAGTAGCTTAATGGTATGGTACGGACTGCAAGCTCAGAAAGTCGTAGGTTCGAATTGTTATTGTAGGTTGGACTACTGTTGTAAACCATTCTTAACACAAGCATGTTAACCTTACTTAAAGTGGTTATCAGGAGTTTTGTTTATGGTTAATAGCGTTACTAGTCTTCTTTTTAAAATAAGTATAAGTAATATATAGGTTCAAATAAAGCACGAGTCATGCATGAACTATTTAAGCTATAACAAAAATTAGGATTTTATTTTTTTAAACAGATTTTTTTTGAATTGTTTGGTAATTCATTTAATTGCCGCGAAGTATATACCAATGTAATTTAAATTGAAGCTAAAAATTACATAGCATCAGGCAACACTGATTAACCGTACATTGCTAATGTGAACATGTTATAAAATTTAAGCCACGTTGCGCTTTTGAGAGGATTATGAAACTCAATATCTGGTCTCCAAGGACTCATTTCAAATTCCAACACATTCTTACTGCCCTGCCAACACACTGTTGCAATATAGGGACAAATTAATGAACAATTAGTATCACTTTTACTTCATAGTGATTACGTGTATATGTGTTGAATTTTATTTGTTGTTCAATTCACGTCTAGTTATAATTCGACTATTTAATTGATTTAAGTCTTTTGCCTGGCAAATATCCTGTATAAACGTATTCTCTATTTTACAAGATTTCTGCATATCTAGGATACAGTCCCTTTCGAATGATAATAAGTTTATTTCCCATATTTTAATAATTATAACTAAATAAACGTATGATAATTTTCGAAGTCCATGCATTAATATAAAAGTAATAAAGGTTAGTTTTATTTTTATAGGTCTTCGCTTTACTTTTTTCTTCCAAATAATTGAAGTTAACATATAAATTGCTTTTAGATCCAAATCCTATAATGGTAAAATACTATATACATACTACTACCATAAAATATCATGCTATGAAGTATATATACTAAACTAAGCGCTCCTTACATTAAAATGAAATGTTATCCTATAAATTTTTAATTAATATATGTGCTTTTAAAATGTATTTGAACAATGCGCGATTTAAATTCACTTATTACAAATTTTAAGCTCTTCTCAGCCTAAAAAGGCCATTATCGTCGTTGTAGTTAATGTTTTACACCTTTAACCCTGCTTTTCTTCGCAATTTCGCCATTCGTTTTTTTTTCATCTGATAGCATTAAGAGATAATTACTACGTATCGGAAGTCACTAGCTTTCGCGGATATTTCCCTAAGTCGACTCTTGCGACACCGAAAAGATGAAAAGAGGTAATATAATCTTTAGTACCGTCGCCATACGACGATTTCTAAATGTCACGAAGTAATTACTTATTTTACAACTTATGTCGATCTTTAAATAAAGATCAATCATCCAGTAAATTTTCCAATAAAATGAGGCGTCCTCCTTTCACTGTTCACTTGTAAGAAATCGCCCCAGTAATTTCTTAATGTACATTTTGCAAAGGCAATAATGCACGTAATATGCAATAATGCACGTTTTGCAAGGGCAATTCGAATATCGGCCGTTGTCACGAAATATTGGATTTTTCGAAACCGATAATGTGCGACTGCGTAATAAATCTAAGTAGGCTCGGTGTAAGTACCGTAAAATCGGACAACTTCCGTATAAATCAGTAATAAGTGACATTAACATAATGGTCAAGGGTACGGACTGCGAAACGTTAAAGCTACTGTGGTGCACCACTTCAACACAAGCATTTAAGCTTAGTTGAAGTGGTTTATATCAGTATTAGAGGAGTTAAAAGCATTGACAGTATTATTTTTGGTACGAAGTTCCTTATCGCACGGTACGAATTTGACGGATGGGGGGCTAGGCGAGAAAAACCCCCTTTCAATAGTGCGAGCGAGATGGAATAATATCCATCTCCCTCGCACTTTTTCTTATCTTGCCATGAAAGAAATATTTAGACGCTTTATTTTAGTAGACGCTAGTAGTTCATTTATTTGTATTTGTTAATCCATAATATAATACGCTTATCAATAATAATATACTACGAAAGGAACTTCGTTCCAACCAAGTGTTCCACGACACTCATCTTGCTATTATTTTTAATACTTGTATCGATTCTGGTGTTTCCTGATTTAATGAAGTATAGTAAAGTAATACCTTTATTTAAATCTGGTAGTACATTGGACCCCGCTAATTATAGACCTATTTCTGTACTACCAACTCTCAGTAAAATTTTTGAAAAAATAATTTTGGATCAATTGTTAATTTTTTTTTAATACAAATAAATTACTTCATAAAAATCAATTTGGTTTTACAAGGGGTCGCTCGACGTCTGACGCCGGTGTTGAGCTTATGAAATATATTTTTAATGCCTGGGAGAATTCACAAAATGCCTTAGGTATTTTCTGTGACCTTTCCAAGGCTTTCGATTGTGTTCATCATGATACATTAATCAGGAAACTACAACATTACGGTGTAAAAAATTTGGCGCTTAAACTTATTACTTCATATTTAAGTAACAGAACTCAAAAAGTCGTCATTAATGGTAAATGTTCCTCCGGATCAGTAGTATCAATGGGCGTTCCTCAGGGCTCGATTCTTGGCCCATTCCTGTTCTTAATCTATATTAATGACTTACCTTATCTTGTAGGGGACAATCACGATATAGTATTATTTGCTGACGATACCTCTTTAATTTTCAAACTGAAACGGCAGTCAATTAAATATGACGATGTAAATAATGCTCTATCGAAACTAGTACATTGGTTTAACGCCAACAATTTGCTCTTAAACGGCAATAAGACAAAATGTATTAAATTTACAATACCTAATGTAAAACATTCGAAAACCAATGTGCTCTTAAATGGGGAGGAGTTGAGTCTTGTGGATACCACTGTTTTTCTCGGTATTACTATTGACGCGATACTTCAATGGGGCCCCCATATATCTAAACTAGCAAGCAGACTTAGTTCTGCTATATGCTGTAAGAAAGATTAGAAGTCTCACAGATGTTGAGACAGCTAGGTTAGTGTATTTTAGTTACTTTCATAGCGTAATGTCTTATGGAATTTTGCTATGGGGTAATGCGACTGATATTGAAGCTATATTTGTTTTACAAAAGAGAGCCGTACGGGCGATTTATAATCTAAATTGTAAAGAGTCCCTTAGAGAAAAATTTAAAGAAATAAACATATTAACTTTGGCATCGCAATATATTTATGAAAATGTAATCTATGTACATAAAAACATAAATAGCTTTAATAAGAATAAGGATGTTCATACCTTAAACACTAGGAACAAACATAAGCTTGTAATGCCACTTACAAGACTCCACAGAATTAGTAATTCATTTATGGGGCAATGTATACGCTTTTACAACAGAATCCCAGAACATGTTCAAAGTTTGTCAATAAACAAGTTTAAAAGTTTTATTAAAGAAAAACTGTACAAAAAGGGTTATTATAATATCAAGGAATACATGAATGAAAATAACCCCTGGGAATAAGGTGATCGCCACCATGCTGGTTCTATGAAAATTCATTTAAAATTGTATAAACAAAATTATTGTTAAGTGAAATTATGTTTAAAAAAAAAAGTCCCGCTGGGTTTCTTGCTGGTTCTTCCCAGGACAGAGGTATTTTCCGAACCAGTGGTAAATAAAATAATGACTTTCAATAAGTATTATGTAATAATCCATATTGAATAAAAATCATTCTATTCTATTCTATTCTATTCTATTCTATTCTATTCTATTCTATTCTATTCTATTCTATTCTATTCTATTCTATTCTCACGCCTGTTATTTTATAAAAAAAATAAAGACAGAGGAAACAACAGAATAGTTAACACAATGTTAAGATCAGCTCAATTCTATTCCGTTTCTCCTGCTTATCATTCTTTATAACAAAAGTTTGCGTGTATATTTTTTTGTTTGTAGAATTAAAACGGCCATTTTCTAGGTGTATTATTTTTATAATAATCTAACAATAATGAAGATGAATAATAAATTGATATAGTTTTCGATGAGTTTGTGTTATAGTATATTTAGAAAAGTAAAATAACAGGCTATTTGGTCATAGCGCCATAGCTGGACACAGACCTATTCTCATTTCTGAGAGTTTTAGGGCAAAAAATAGTCAGTCGTGGTAACCAAAGCTAGCTGGATTTTTTGGTTCAGACTTGTTATCACTATACATCCTGTATATTTTGCAATAAACGGCAAAATTTGCAGAGAAGGTTCAGAATAAGTAATATAAGCAAATGGCGAAGAAAAGTTAATTTAGGTAAATCTGAAACATTCTATCCTTGTTATCTTTTAAATTAAAATGCGTGGTAATGCATTATTTTGACTGATTCTACTGCGCACGCACACATTCTTAAGGGTCAATTGGTAGGCCAAAACGTTGTTGCCCATGCCCAAATCACATTCAATTTAGGATCATTTTTAAATAAAATTAGAAGCCTTCTTTACTCGTATTTTCAAAAACTGCAATAATCGTATATGAATACTGTTATTATTTATATATTTGGCTAAAAAATGACCCTGTTAGTTATTTTTAATTTCTCAGACAAGTTTCCTCGCGATATTTTTTTACTGTCGAGTACGTGGTAAATTTATACTTAAAATTGCAATTAACAGTTTCGTTGGTGCAAATCGAGATCTAACTCGCTTTACTAGCATTTTATGAAATTTTCAGTTGGCTTATCCCTTATAGCTACCACGACTGTAGTATTTTGAAATTATCAGATAATTCCTAATAAACATTTATTCTAAAAATTGAATTGCCACTATTATCCTTTTGTTTACGCAATATGTATAAGAACCCTATTGGGTGGTAGGGCTCCTTCTTTGCCTAGGAGATCGTTCTGGCTATTTCTGCCGTCACTAAACAGCAGTGCGTGCACTGATGTGTTCCGTTCTGAAATATAATACCACACTTTGAGGAATTCATCTTAGCCGTCAGTAGCCTTTATTATTTGAAGTTGCTTGCTGATGTCCACGGGTTGCAGTAGCCATTTACCATCAGGTGAACTGTAAGTGTTTTTGCCACTTCAATTTTATATATGCAAATGACGCATAATAAATTAAGCAGTTGTCCTTTACGACTGGCTTCCGATATTGACTAATTTACAATGAAATAGAATATATTAATTATTTATGTAAAATAATTAGTATAATTTTCAACAAAAAATTAAACAAAGTTGTTTATTCAATCATTTAATTATAATATCTGCATTAACTCAATAACTTCCTTAATTGATAAACACCGATGAATTCTTGGTTTAATGATCAGAACACCTTCAAACTGCTCCCGTCATCCATTTTAATCCAAATCCTAACTGAAGCAGTTGTACAAAAATATATTTGTTTTTGGTTGTTAGGTTCAAGTGGTGTTTTACGCTACGTATCTCTGAAATTACACCTAGTCTACCTATGATCTCATTGCGTAGCCGCTGTCACGGGTTGGTTAAGACAATTGAATTGTGGATTTGTGCGTACACTTGTCGTGCAAAAATATTTCCAATACAATTATTCGAAAAAGAAAACAATGATCATATTCTGCTAAATTTCGCAAGTTGTCCTGTTCAAAATCTGACATGGTCCTCGTCCAATTTTTCCTTTTTTTTAATCTTTGTAAAACTCCTAACAGAAATATAATTTGTGTTAAATTTAATGACGTACCTAGATCTGTTGTAGCGAGGGAAGCTAATCGACGTTTATTTCAGTTTCAGGCCAAGAGTTCGACTGTCCGGACAAAAATGGATACTACCCGGACCCGTACCAGTGTGACCTTTATTACAAATGCAACAAAGGTCAGTATGATACTTGCAAAGGTTAACGAGAATTGAGTAAGTGTGTCATAGAAAAGCCACACACATACTTACTTAATGCAAATAATACGCATAATTATGATTCCGTATTTGTAGTATCGTAACTACAGGGCTTAAGCTTTATAATATCTTTATATTTTCGTGCTATAAATATTCACATTATTATTTTTGATTGATTTATCTTCTTTTGATTTATTAAGAGATGATAGTTCATTGGCTCCTACAGACTATGGCCACCAATAATCAACTTCAACTAAAGATATAAAGCCATAGGTTTACAACCGGGGGGTCTGTATATCCGTTTGTGACCATTTATAAAATACAAAAAAATTAACCAAAAGAACAAAATCAAAGAAAAGTTCTTAAGTTTCCCTAATAAAAGTTTATTTCTACTGTCGTCAAAATGAGATTTTTCTGACTAGAAAAGACACCCGACATTCTCTTTTTTCATTTGTTTTTATACGAATGACATTTATTCAAAATAATAATCAAAGTAACTATTACATGAACAGTAAGGAAACATAATGTTGCCCTTAATTTTATCCTTAGGTACATTTCCGCCATATAAACTTTTGTGTTGATATCTACGCTCAAAGTTTAACGACCTTTTAGAAATTATTTCTCAATTTAGTCTCGCACCAGTAAGGGCAGTGAACTGAATGTTTCTCTATAACATACATCACTTAGCACAACAACTCTTCAGATATATGAATATTTCGAACTTCTAATGGGTATTCTTTACGTAATTGTCATATATTTATGTCGTGAAAAGTTATGCAAGAAATCAAACATCTAGCTACGCAAGAAGAAATAAGCATAAGTAGGTATATAATATTCATTACTAATAGTATTGTAATTACCAAAGAAAAGCTATATACCTATATAGAGTTGGCGACTGAACGTTTGAATCAACTGACTACAGGGGTTTGAATATGAGTTCGAATCCTAGACGAAGACGTTTGCAGAGTATTTCGTTTTGGATTAGAATTCAACTCAAAAAAACTGAGGAGAGTCATATATAAGAGATCTTAACATATTACAAAGAATAAAGGAAAATTTATCTACTAGATATTTTTATAACGTCTTCAAATGTTAATTTAAATAATTTCAATGCAAATAACAAGATTTGTGTTATGAAATAGTTAGGCCACATATTAAAGTTATTCGTTGCTTTCTAAACCAATAAAAATCCCTTAAAACAGTGCTATAATCTCTTCATCATAATGTCTTTCATAACGTATGTCTTATGGTATTTTTTATTCATTTATTATAAATATACTTCTTAACTTAATTATACCAAGGTCATATTTACTAATATAGTATGATCATGTAATACAGCGAGTACAATACATATTATATACACATTATTATAGCTTTTCCTAGTACTGCCAGTCACACACTGCGTGGTCGAGATCAACATTTCTAAAATGTTTCGTTCTAGTTTCAGTAACTAGTTTTGTATCCGCTTTGAAAGCTGCAAGATGTCTAGTATATGTATATTGCAAATGAAAATCGAAAACGCGTGAATTCGTGATGAGAATGATTGAGTCAAATTTCGACACATTTAAGAACGTTAACGTAAGGCCACGGTGAAAGGAGAAGAAATAAATAAAATAAGGAGCGCCTTGTTTCATCGTTTAAAATTATTGTAAGGCTGCGTCCCGCCTCGGCGTCGCCTGGGTAGGATCTATTAAAGTGGAGTTATTTAAATATGAGATAATCAAATGAATCTAATTTTACGGATTTTATCGCGTTTAATATATTTTTACCCTGCGTCTCGGGTGCTTTACAGCACCCATAATGAACATGTTCAAGATCAACCCCGCCATTACATTAGATTTCATAGACCACAAATCCTCGCAAAACATCGATTCCTACCAAGGATGATCCGCGAGGCTATTGAAATTAAAAATCATCCTCATTTCAATAGAGAAGATGGATCGGTGCTACCATCAGCTTGGGATCCTATAATTAATAAAATTAAATCAATTTTTTGTCAATTATTATTTTATTATATTTTATCAACTTTTTGATTAAAAATTCCCTAATTACTTGATACGTCTACACTGTGAAACAATGAACAGAACAAGGCGTAAATATAATGATTTCTTATATTTACGCGAACACTACACATTTAAATAAAACTAATTTTACGGATTTTATCGCGTATATTAACTTATTTTACATTCCCGACGTTTCAAGCACTTTACAGCACCCATGGTCACGGGGGGACTGAGGTGTATGACGACCCAATGTCATAGTTAACCACGGCTATCTCCAGATTAAAAATTATTAATTTTTGTTCCGATCTACGCAGTATGAACTTACAGTATCATGAAGCCTTGCAGTTGTATGCTTGGGTTGGGATTTAATTTTATTAATTATGGGATCCCAAGCAGATGGTAGCACCCAGCCATCTTCTCTATTGAAATTAGGATGTTTATTGATTTCAATAGCCTCGCGAATCATCCTTGGAAGGAATCGGTGTTCTTTAGCGAGGATTTGTGGTCCATCAAATCTAATGTAGTGACGGGGGCGATCCTTTACGTGTTCACAGACTGCAGACTTCCCGGAGCGTCTATTCTTCACATCAGCTATGTGTTCTTTCCCCGTGACCATGGGTGCTGTAAAGTGCTTGAAACGTCGGGAATGTAAAATAAGTTAATATACGCGACAAAATCCGTAAAATTAGTTTTATTTAAAGGCGTAAATAATTTATAAGTCAAAAGGAAAAACTGTTGGGGATATCCAATTGACATGTGATGACCAGCGTACGAGTACTAAGTATTATATTTAAAACGATAAACTTAACAATGTCACAGTTTATAATATCTTAAAGCATGCGATGCTCTGTGGCAGTATAAACGTGGAATTACAATTTTTACGGCTAATTATCAAATAAACGTACATAGAGAATTCATATTATATTTTACATACGCAATTTTATTTGCATTTTGGTTACAAGTTAAAAATAAATGCTTTAACCTAGTGCTATATACAATTTCAAATTCATTAACAATTACATACTTTACAATAGGAATAAGCATGAATCATTATTTTAGCATAAATCACAGATACTATATAATAATATAGTCTAAATTATTATCTTCTCGCACTTTGCACGCATTGTTCTCTATTGCTTCGTGTACTTTCGTCACAATCGGATCAGCCATTCCGAAGATTAGTCTTGAAATTTTAAAAATGGTTATTCATGTCTTAATGGCATGCAAATAAACCTCTACTCAATAAAAGGTAGTTGGGCAGACATCGATATTTTTTATTCAATTATTTTCAATTATATTTATTTATTTTATTCATTAATTTAATCTTTTTTGCACGCCTTATAATAAAAGATATGCCTTATGGCATTCTACCATATGTAAAGAAAACAAAATCTAAAAATATTAGGTATATTTCATGCACCATTTTATAATATGACACAGATTATTTTTAAATACTACAATACTTAATACCATATTTAGAGATCCGTTTTATTATGACTTGTTTATCATAAACGTATTTTATATTTAATTGCCACTTATTACTGTATTTTAAAATTGCATAAAACCAACGTTTCACAGTTTTATAATTATTTATAGCTTAAATGAACTTATTAAATTTTGTACAATTTAATACAATTTTTGTTCTTTCGAAAATTATGTATGTAAACTGCCTCCACGATACAGAGAAAAATCCTAAAGTTTTTTCTCATTTCCATCACTGTAGTTCTAATCTTTTTTTAAAGGCAAGGGAAAAAAAGAAAAGATTATGGTACTTATGTATTTATTTATTATTTTTATAATATATCTGACAGAAAATGACGTAGTAATTATCACATACAATTTAATAAATAAATATTTTATTATTTATTTAGGTGTGAGAGTTTGTTTGTTATTTTTTCATGAAAAACCTACTTTTCACTAAAAGAATCACTAAAAAGTAGATTAAAAATTAAATTCCTACATTACTAAATGAAGAAATGCAACTTCCTAAAAATATTAATGATGAACATTTTTTTTGGTTTCACGTACATATCACGTATCACGTATATCACGAACTAGTAAGCGTAATATTGCTATCATACATCTACAGGTAGTACAAAGTTATTAAAGTCTGTAATGGACACGTTACCACATTGACCGTGCAGCTCGAGTTACTATTATCATTGCAATCGGCAGTGACCTCGTTATATTTATAACGTTTAATGGTAAACTGGTTAAGGATAGCAATGATTTTAACAGTTGTAGAGCCACGCGGCAGCCTTTGTCAGAAGACCAGCGTAAAGTAGATGCTCTGTTTCTGCATTTCTTCTGGTGAGTGCAGGTGGCCGGAGGCCCAATTCCCTCCCCCCTCCTTAACATGGTAGCGGTAACCCTACTCTTTCTAAGCGTGTGTGCTCAGGTTGCCTCGCGTATTCTGGGGGGGGGGGGGGTGTGGAATTCCGCTCTAAACCTGCTCGGGAGCGGAGCAATAAATCAAAGGCGCATTCAAACCTTAACGCCGTCCACTACCATCTGGAAACACACAGAGAAGCCGGCCTTGCTCTTACCTGTCCTTCTTATGGTTCCGCGTAAACAGCAACGACCATCCCCACGTCTACAGGTGCCTCTATAGGTCCCATGGCGGCAATGCCGACACAGACTTCCCCATCGACTACGTCCAAATGCCTGTAGACTCCGTGCTACAACAGCTGTCAGGCCTGGGCTCACCCATCGACGTGCAATGCAGAATGAAAATACCAGCGCTCTTAAAATAAATATATTTCCGCCTCCAGGGTCTTCAAAAGTGTCATTGTCAAAGTAACGTCAGAGCGCATCGTCAGAATTGGCGAGAAACTAGTTCGCTTCTTTCGGGAACACGTGCATTCTGGTCTCTCGCCAAGACTGTCCAAGGGAACTTCTGTGAGCCATCTCTCCCATCCTTGCACAGGGAGGACGACTCACTGGCCCATGCCGCAAAGGACAAATCCGATCTGCTGGGCTCTCTCTTTGCGTCCAACTCGACTCTTAATGACGGGGAACACACCGCCGACCATCCCGTAGTGTGAGTTCTCCATGCAGGATGTGCTGTTAACCCAACGCTCGGTAGGCAGAGCACTCCTCTCCCTGGACGTCGACAAGTCGAATGGGCCTGATGGTGTACCTCTTATTGTGCTGAAGACGTGTGCTCCAGAGTTGGCACCGGTTTTAACGCGTCTTTTCCGGTAATCCTACTCCCTAGGCGTAGTCCCGAAATCATGAAAGACAGTCCAACCATAGGCCTATCACCATTAACTCATTGTTCTCTAGAATAATGTAGTCCATTATTAACAGCCAGTTCATGCGGTACCTTGAGGATCACCAGCTCACACAGGATGAGAACAGAGGATGACCGTCAGTACAGTTTCCGTCGCGGTCGCTCGGTTGGTGATCTTCTGGGTTACCTAACTTATAAATGGGCGGAGGCAGTAGAGTCCAAGGGGAAGGCGTTGCCCGTTAATTTGGACATAGCGAACGCCTTTGATCGGGTTTAGTACAAAGCGCTTCTTAAGAAGCTTCCTTCCTATAGGCTTCCCGAGAAATTGTGCAATTGGATCACCAGTTTTCTTGCAGATCGGAGCATCAAGGTAGTAGGTGTATGCTCCGATTACAAGCCCATATCAATAACATGTTGCAAACCGGTAACATTCATTGCTATGCAGCATTGGTGATGCTTTAAACACCGGCCGTGCCAATATTTCTCGGGAAAACCGAGTATCGGAACAAACTTGCGTCTGAAGTCGGGACAGTCTCGGACTGGGGGCGACCAAATCTAGTCTAGTCCAATCCCCAGAAGACACAAATTTGCGCGTTTGCCGCTAAAAAGAATCCCTTCGTCGTATCTCCTCAGTTTCAAGACACTCCCCTTGTTGCCTCAGTCAGTATCGGAATCCTCGGCGTCGACATATCGAGTGACGTGCAGTTTCGTGGTCACTTGGAAGAGATGGCCAAATTGGCCTCTAAAAAGCTTGGCGTGCTCAGCAGAGCGGGACAATATTTCATGCCAAAACACCGCCTGCAACTTTACAAGGCACAGGTTCGGCCGCACATGGAATACTGTTCCCATCTCTGGGCTGGGGCTCCTCAGTGTCAGCTCCTTCCATTTGATCGCATCCAGCGCAGAGCTGTTGGAATCGTCGGCGACCATTCCGAAGTTCTTTCCAATCGGCTCGACTCACTGGCACTGCGAAGAGATGTTGCATCTCTTTCCGTGTTTTATCGCATTTACCACGGGGAGTGCTTTAAGGAATTATTCAGACTGATTCCAGTCGCTTTTTGAAGCCCCCTCTCCTATTAAAAAAAATTAAGGGATGTTTACGAAATCCATAATTATAAAGACAAACCTCTTTTTTGATATCTAAGACTTACATTCATCATTATCATCATCATAACCTATCAAAACTCCGCCGTGGCAGCTTTTCTCAATTGGTTATTGGACATATTTGCCATAGTTGCTACGCTTGGTGGGCGGGTTAGTAACCATAGTTTCTTACCATTTTGAGTTATCCGGAAGAAGCTGTTGACCATCATCTGTTTCATTTAACCGTAAGGTGGCGGTGTTAATAATATCCACTATAGTAATATACAGAGGAGAAGGTATGTCCAAAATTATAAATTCATGTTCCATCCACAATCACGAATCAGAACCTGAACAAATATATATTTATTAACAATGGTTTAATTTTTTATTAAAAAAAAGAATTATCATTTTGTTCCTATTGTGTGATATTCTATGTAACCATACTTATCAAGTAATAAGTAGAGGCATGCTGCTAAAAGCAAGCTTACTACGTTTTCGCTTGTTTTATTTATATTAAAACATGTGTTCTATTCTTACGAACAATTAAAAAAAGTATGATAATTAGCAAACATTTTTAAATAAATTAAAATTATTTTTGTGTTAGTATTCATTTGACAATACGAAGTTATCATGTTACCATTATTGAAATGTTTGACATAAAACAAAAACAAGGAAAAATATATTTCAAGGTAGCCAAGTGATATTAAGATGAAGAATTTCAATTATAGATTAAGAATAACTAATGAATAATGAAACAAACAGTTACTTTTATTTAAATGAACAGTAGTTGACCTTTAATCAAAGCATCAAAAAAGTGTGTAATATTAAAATATTTTTTTTTGAAACTTAAAGGTATTTTAAGGCAATGATAAGTTGAAGCAATAAGATAGAGTGAGTTCGGGTTGGTAGAATGTAACAGTAAATTATTTTAATCAATTATATTTTTTCATCAGCTTATAAAAGTCTACTGCTGGATAAATACATAAACCATTGTAGTTAGCATTCCACACTCAGCTGGCGAATTGGAAATCTGAGTACTAAACGTTTCTTAATTTTGACACTGATGCAAATCGCCAGTCTGGGTACTTTACGTCTGGAGTGAATAATCGGGATGGTTTTATCTCGCATTATCAATAGCCATTAGATCTTTTGGACATTCCCTATAGTCGCCTCTTACGGAACGCCTCCACGGGACAAAATGAAGTGATGAATTGTCCTGGACCGCCACTCAACATGTTTTTGTAATATTAACGGAGATAATTGTTATGTACTAATTATTGCTACTAGTGTTTCCACTTATGTGTATAAGACTATCGACTTTTATATATCGACTATATATTTATCGACTATATATTTATATTTATATTTATCGACTATATATATATCGACTTTCGGTTAGGGCGGCCAGTCCCAATTGAGACTAGCAACCTGCGCATGGCAGGCAGATGCACTCTCTATGTCCTTACTCTCACACGCTTTACAAGATTTCCGAGGCACGGGAGTGAAAAACCGTCAACTTATCTACTTCAAGCTGCTAGTTAGAATTTCTTCACAGAAAAACCCAATAACTGATTTTAGCCCAAATCCGAACACGGAATCACATTATCAGCACTCCCGGCTACGGCCACTCAACCAAAACGTAGTTAAATCTAAAACGGATAATATAAGGATAATACTATACTAAATATCAATACATTTTTACAGGTGTAGCGGAAACGAAGCTATGCCCTGACGGGTTGGTCTTCTCTGACGAACATCCTAACAAGGAACTTTGTGATATCCCGTCCAACGTAGACTGCGGGGACAGAAGAGAACTACGTAAGTTGATTTATTTACAACTAACTATTTCCCGCGACTTCGCCCGCGTTTTATTTGGGATTTTAATTTTTTGGTGCGGAATCCTAATTCTTTTTCTAAAATAAAAGTAGCCTAAGTTACTCCTTGTGATATAAGCTATCTGCCAGTGAAAATTCCGTCAAAATCGGTCCAGACGTTTCGGAGATTAGCCGGAATAAACTTATTAGACAGACAGACGGACAGACAGACAGACAGACAAAAACTTTAAAAATTGTATTTTTCTTATTAGTACCGTATATACTGTCATATGCATTTAGTAAAAAGCTGTAATTTTGAAATTACAAACAGACACTTCAATTTATTTATTTGTATAGATTCGATTAAAAAAAACATAAAAAAAAGTTAATTAAAGTAAATTAAAAAAAAATCATTTTACAGTTTTTTTTAATATTTTTGGTATTAAATTTTTATATTCTACAATTTTCATTATTACAAACTCTTTAACTTTTTTCTATTTTTCAGAGGAAGCCAAACCTACAAAGGGTTGCCCACGACAAAATGGATACTTCAAGCATCCGGATCCTCAGGTAAAATGGTTCATACAATTATAATAATATAAAAATACCGTTACATATATTACGAAGATTTATTATTGGAAGTATTTAGCTGTCTAAATGTACACACAAAAAAAATTTTCTAAATGATATAACAATTATTACATAATTTTTAAAAGTACATACTTCGTACATTAGTCCAATTATTTATATATGTTTTTTTGTTTATGATGAAGGCATGTGACAAGTTCTATTACTGCTCCGACGGTGTGCCATACGAACATCCTTGCCCGCCCGGCCTATACTTCGATGAGGAAACCTCTAACTGTGACTGGAAGGATGTTGTCCACCGTACTTGCGACCACATCACTAAAGGTATAATTCACAAATAAAGTGTATACACATATAACCTGCGCGTAGAAGTTTTTCTGATATCGTCATGACGTACGGCACGGTACAACGCCGTTTGCTAAGTTTTTTGACTATTAGAAGGCAGTGCTTGAATTCTATCACAAGTAATATGTCGTAAATACAGTAGTGGAGACCAACCATGCGTCCGGTGGTCCTATGATGGAATGAAGAGGGTGGATTTAAGTCATGAAATTCCTGCTCACACTCTCCGAAATGTATCATGTAGAACATCGAAAGTCTATGCGCCTATGCTCGAGACTGGTTAGGTGGACTTTAAGCAAATGTACTGTACTGCTGTGGTTAGACCTGAAGGATAAAGAGAACCAATATAATTATAGACTATGTATACTATACATTCAATTTTAGTAGACTTTCTTGTTTGAAGTTGACTGCAGGTGTCCATGGACAAACGAACTTACAGTTTACCATATGTAGTGAACTATAAGTTCGTTCGTCACTTCAGTTTTATAAGAAAGTACCCATAGAAATATTAAAAAAATAAATAAAAATTATTAATCAAATAAATTGTTTACTAACCAAATATTATGAAGTGAAATTAAACTCACAAGATATTGATTTCCAACATTAGTACAATTGATCGTTGTAATTAAAATTTTAATTTTATTGTAACTTTTCCAAAGATGTCCTCGACGATGGTTTTTCTTGTCCGGACGGTGAAGTAGCAGGCCCCAATGGGCGTGCACTTCCACACCCAACCTTCCCCCACCCTGAAGATTGTCAGAAATTCTACATCTGCCGCAATGGCGTCCAGCCGCAGAAAGGCAGCTGTCCTTCCGGAAAGGTGTACAATGAAGATACTTTCATGTGCGATGACCCTGAGAAAGTTCCTGGATGGTATGTTTTTTTTTGTTATTCAAGCAACATTATACTTTTACAGACTTCAAAAAAGAGAATTGGTTCTAATTTAGTTTTTGACGTACATAATACCGAGGTTATTTTATCAATGAGGCATTCCATTTTAGTCCTCGGAGGTGACAACGCATATGCATTTTAATTCTTAATCTAGGGTAAATGTAGATGTGTATGGGCCACAGCATCCACTTACTATCAGGTGGACTGTGTTCTCGTTTGTCACTCTTGTTTTCTATTCAAAGAAATACTGGTTTTACCGAAAACGGTAATAAAACTTTTACAGTGATCTGATATAAATATGAACGTGGTAGAGCCTACTGCGAATTATGTCTGCTGTACGATTGGATCGACTCGAACGAGGAAGAACCATGCTCGTACAGAATAACAGCGTCAAATAGCAGAATAACGACATACAAGATCCTTTTTCCTGTTAACGAGGCTTTCCATCATTGTGCTAAGAGATGACAACGCATCTGCATTTTTAACTGTTAATCGAGAATAAACTTTTTTTCTTAAACGAGCACACATTCTAACTGATAGCAAGTGGGTGCTGTGGCTCGTTTGAGCCGACTTATTCGGCTTACAACCATAATATAGCTACAGCTTGGCTCTACCACGTATGCATGTTGTGTAACAAAATACTAAATTGAATTAGTTATATTTAGGTAATTAATTGAGAATCAAATTTTTCAGTATAGTCTGCTTCTTGACGTTTTCGACTAGGAAAGCCCAGGAGTAAAACTTAGAAACTATATTTTTTATATTGAAATAACAGTGCTGCTTTTAATTTTCAGTGAAAACTATTATGAAGGTCAGCCTTTGGAGAAGAACAAATTACCGAAGAAGGCGTAATCGGCATTTAATAGTTTTTAGTAGATACTCCAACTAGTTTGTAAACTCTTATAAATAAATAATTGATAAAGTAAAGATTGTTTCATTTTCCTATAATTTTATCAAAAACGACATAAGATAATTCATAATCAAATTTCGGTCTATGGGTACTTAAAAGGTGATTAAGGAAAATGACAGAAAATTCTTATGGCTTCTAATAGATGAAGGTACAATTATCTCGTTTACGCTAAACGTAAAACATCCAGACGAGAGAGTGTGAGATGTTTTATTTGTACTGCGATCATCAGTATGGTTTCTCTGGCTCTATGCTTGTGTGGTTTGACTCTTATCTAGAAGGCCTAAACTTATTTGACGTTGTGAATGGGTTTAGTTTTGTCAAATTTTCTATCACGTCCTTATTTAATATGTTTATTAACGAGCAGCGAGCTGCCCAGGCTTTGCCTGGATAGGATCTATTAATGTAGCGTTATTTAGACTTGAAATAATCAAAAACCATTTATTTTAATAAGTTTTCGTTTTTAAAAAAATATTTAAAATTTTCGAATAAATTATAGCCTAGAACGTTCCTGGTATTACTCTCTATCTGGTTCGTTCGTTCACAATCGATTAAGCCATTCCTAAAATTAGTCCGGACAGACAAACAGACAAAAAATAAAAAAAATATAAAATGGTAATTTATATCTTAATATCGTGCAAATAACCCCCTGAGTTTAATAGAAGACATTTCAACATTACAGACAGACACTTCGATTTTATTTGTATGTATAGATATTCTATGAAACATTTATCACATTTTAAATTGATTTGTGTTTAATGATTTCTTATGTTTACACGGACACTACACATTTCAAAAAACAGTATAGTAGTTTTCACAGATTTTATCGCGTATATTAACATATTTTGTATTCCCGACAGCACAGCACCCCTGGCCTCGGAGGGGACTGAAATTTTCGACGTCTTATTGTCTTTATTAACCATGGATACCTATGAAGGTACACACAATCCACCTGATAGTAATTGAATGCTGTTGCCTATAGAAATTTACATCTATCCTCGATTAAGTGTTGTCACTCCTGAGGACTACTAACATTTTTCGAGTAAAAAGCGTCTTCGGTTCTCTACAATAACCATACAAAACACGGTAGCAATGTGCTGCTATTTTACGCTGGTATTCTGTAAGGGCGTACAATTCTGTTACAATCGTATTAAAACTGCCATTGACTTAATACTAGCGTACGTAATCATTGATAGCTGCAGTCTACCGTGCTAGAATATTCTAATTTTTTTTTTTTTACTTATTTTCACGCACAATCCCTGACGGGGTAGCCAGAGAGAACAGATCGCCAAGTGTCACGATCCTTACATACCTCTTTCGCTTCTTTTAGATTCATTATCTTCTTCATACATGCACGTCTAGGTATCCGAGTACTCTTGACCCTACCCTCTTCGAGCAATTTGCTCACATGGTCTTCGAAAGTTAGTCTCGGTCTACCTCGACACCTTTTAATATTAACTTTCGCGCTATATATTTTCTTCACCATTCGGTCTTCACTCATTCGCTCAACGTGCCCAAACCATCGAGGCACGCCCTTATCAATTTTTGTGATAAGGTCATCTTTCAAACCTGCCATATTGCGAATCTCTTCGTTTCGCTTTCGGTCGGCCATGGTAACGCCGCACATTTTACGAAGAGATCGCATCTCCACTGCATTCAACTTGCTTTTATGCTTCTTCTGGCATACCCAGGTTTCGCTGCCATATAACAAAGTCGGTACCAACACTACGTTATGTATTGCAAGGCGTGCACTCTTCACTACGCCTTGCCTTTTGACTAAGGCAGTCAGGGCACCATTGACTTTGTTCCCGGCAGCGACACGCCTGTCCATATCTAAATCACATCTTCCATCCCGGCTAAAAGCACTCCCCAAGTATACAATTTCATTTACTTGTTCTAGACATTACTGATTTACCCATATTTCACACTTCGTTCTCTCTTCGTCCCTTTCAAATACCAGAACCTTAGTTTTATTAGCGTTCAAACGGAGACCTTTAATTTCACATTCCTCTTTCATACATGTGACTAATGCCTGCAGTTCTGCCTCTGATAGTGCAATAAGCACTGCATCATCAGCATACAGCAGACAATTTACTTTTTTTTAAAAACCTTTTACCCCCACACTAGGATTTTCTCCTGTGTCGTGGAGGCAGTTTACAAACATAAATTGCACAAGGACAAACATCCAGACCCGGAACAATTATTTGTAGGCCATACAAATAAGTATTTGTATGGCCTACAAATAATTAAAAATAACAAGTGTTCCGTGCGGGATTCGAAACCGCGGCCCCCAGCGCAACAACTGATTGCTAAGCCACTGCGCCACGTTCTAATTTTCTAATCATTATATTCTAATCGTTTCTTACAAATGAGATGTACAAAAGTTTTTTGTGGTAATTAATATGACAGATTACCTTGATATTTGATATTACGAAACCTAATGATATTTTAATAACACTCTCCTTATGTTATGAACGTAATCTTTTTATCAAATACTAAAGAACATATTTAATTAAATTCATATTTAAAAAAGAACACATTCCTTTTCAATGAAAATAAAATAAATTTAATAAATTTTTTAATAAATTAAAAGAATCTTTGTTATATTGATGATTTATGTTTGAAGATTACTTAAAACCCTCTAAGATCGTCAGTAAATTATTAAATATGTTCTTTAGTATTTGTATATTAATGTAATATTCTACGATTTATCTTGAGCGTGTAATATTCCTTAATCCATTCAAAAAGATGGACAAATTAAAGTTTTAATAAATAAGTAAAAGCAGGACTAAATAGAATAAAATAATTTTAACATAACAGCTTCTGATGATGGTGCTTCAATTCTTCTATACACTTTGTGTTAACACAAATTATCAATCGTTGTTACTGGATGTTTAAATCTAGGAACCAACAATTTGAAATGAAATTATATTCGATTTGTTTTTTTTTTATCTGAATTGTCTCTTTTTTCACTTTTTTTTTATAGGAGATGGGGCAAACGAGCATGCTGCTCACCTGATGGTAAGTGACTACCGCCGCCCATGAACAACTGCAACACCAGGGAGGGAATTGCAGATGCGTTGCCGGCCTTTTAAAAAGGAGTACGCTCTTTTCTTGAAGGTCTCTAAGTCGTATCGGTCCGGAAAAATCGCTGATGGTAATCGATTCCACAAGGAAGTCGTGCGAGGAAGAAAACATCTTCTAAATCGCACAGTGGTGGTCCGCCAATCATCCAGATGGTGTGGATGGTATCGGGAGTTCTGCCGCGATGTGCGTTCGTGAAATTTGGCGGCTGGGATTAATCCGAACAATTCCTTTGAGCACTCCCAATGATAGATACAATAGAATATGAGCGCCGGTGAGTCAAGTTGATTAAACTGAACTAAGTCCTCGACAATTCGAACCGTTCTGCATTAAATGCGATCAAGTGGAAGGAGTTGGCGCTGGGGTGCCCCGATCCAGAGATGAGAACAGTATTTCATAAATTCTTTGTGATATATATTATATATTACATTATTTGGATTACTGTATTACATTTTTTCTGTTTCATGGTCAATTAAGAATATTTATACACACATACATAACCGCCATTAACTCAAAATTATCAAGTTAATATAAGCACATTCAGCAAAATTATAAACAATTTTACATAAATGTTAGCCTCGCCCAGGATTTGCGTAAATATTTACTTCCTAGTCAACAGTTTATGCTGTTTTGCCAAGACTTTCGTAATCTGATTTTAAGTTGCGACTGACGAAATACGCGTTTACCACTTTATATTAATCAACCTTTACCACAGTATGTACTGTATCTAACTGTTTCGTTTCGCAACAAGTTTATTATCTCCCACTTTGCTATTTGTATGTTTCTTAACCTATTTTATCAAGATAAAATGCAATTGAGCTTGTCAAATTAGATTATATCATATGAGGGATATTTGCCACACACATACACACAGAGGTAGTTGTCATACTTGGTAGGCGGCTTGGAAACCGCGTTTTTCTATTATTTTAAGTTATTATCAGGAAGATGCCCTGTCCATCTCCTGTTTCTGTATCTCTCTGTCGCCTCTTACGACTCGAATACGAATTGGGGATTAGAAATAGTGGGTTCTTTAACACCTCCTTCAAAAATAAAATGTTTTATAATGTGTTATAAATTAACTTATGATAGATTATATAATATGTTAACTATTTTTGTTTTTTAGTAGGAGGAATTGCCTTAATAGACACCAACGAGAAATGTATTGCCGGTATAATAGTTAGTTGATTACGTTTAATGTCAGCATCATCATCATCACTACAGCCCTTCACTAGTCCACTGCTGAACATAAGCCTCAAGGAATGCCACAAAGCATGGTCCTGAGCCACCTGCATCTATCGACTTCCTGCATAACTTACCAGGTCGTACACTTCGTCCGACGGTATGAGGCCGCCACTCGAGAACTATTTTTCCCCATCGGTTGCCGGTTCTTTGAACTATATGGCCGGCCTATTGCCACTTCAGCTTACTAATCTGTTGGGCTATGTCGGTCACTCTGGGTTTACTGCGGATGTCCTCATTTCTAAGTTTATCACACAAAAAAACTCCAAGCCTAGCCCTCTCCATAGCTCGCTGAGAGACCTTGAGCTTTCTTAACCGGCCAGTAGTTAAGGACCACGTCTCAGTTCCATAGATCATCACTGGCAACACGCACTGGTTGTACAGTCTCGTTTTTAAATTATGAGGTAAACTTGACAAGAAGATGCGCTGTAATTTCCCGAACGCTGCCAACCAAGTTGAATCCGTCGATTGACCTCTCGGTCGAAGTCGGAATTACCTAGTCGGACTATTTGTTCCAGGTAAACATTAGTCCAGAAGCTTAAAAACGTCTTAAAATGCAGCGGTGAAGAGTTTCGGGGATATAACGTACCCTCTTACATCTCTCTGCAGTTGGATAGGTTTC